AAGGTATAAACTAGACAAGAAAAGCTATGAATTTACCACTGACAACACTGAGTTTGAATATGTTTTGTGTACTAATGATGAACATCTTATTGCTAAAATGTATAATTTTTTGTTAAAGATGAATTTGGAAGATGAAAATGTTAAAGATTGTATGGTTAAATGGGGAAAAAACTTTGGATATAACATAATGTTAGACCAGTGGGAAAATATGTGAAATAAAGAGTTAAAGTTTACTCTTAATTATACATCGAAAGAAAATTTCTATAAAATGATGTACTGTTGATATTTGACACCAGATAAATTGTCAAAGATGTATAAAGGAACCTCAAATGTATGTTGGAAATGTAATCAATGTGAAGGTACATTCTATCACTTATGGTGGACTTGTAAAAAGGCTAAGAAATATTGGAATATGATATGTATTTTGATTCAAAGGATTTTGAAAATAGACTTGCAATTGAAACCACAGACTTTTCTTTTAGGTATGATGGATAAACAAATGGAAAGACAACACAGACATTTATTTCTTTATATGATAACTGCGGCAAGACTCCTATATGCATAAAAATGGAAGGACTTACAAATACGTACTGCTGAAGAATGGATATTGAAATTAATGGAATTGGCGAACATGGCAAAACTCACTGCTTTCCTCAAAGACAGGGCACTGTTTGTTTCTAATTGGAAACCACTCTTAGACTTTTTGCTTGATACTCAAAAAAATCCAACTTTGATTTTGGGATATGCTGATTGATGTTATAGAAATATCGGCACTGTTTGTTTCTAATTGGAAACCACTCTTAGACTTTTTGCTTGATACTCAAAAAAATCCAACTTTGATTTTGGGATATGCTGATTGATGTTATAGAAATATCTTGTACAAATTATATGTATTATCCAAATAGATTGATTTTAGGAATCTTCTTGAATCCTAGACTAAAAACTATTTTTTACTATGTAAACTTTTAGATATTACAGTAAGAGGCGAATATATTCCTGTACCAAGGAAAGTCCGAAGCTCTCTTTCTTTCTTATGCCCCCTCCTTCCCTTCCCTTCCCTTCCCCCTTTTTTTCTTTTTCTCTTTTTCCATTCCTTTTTACTGATTTTTCTGTATTTTAACTTTTTTTGAAAAGATAATAAAATTTATAATTAAACAACAAGACCTGGCAATGGCTAAGAGCTGGAAAGTTGAAGAAAGAGACAGAGGGGCTAATTCTGACTGCACAAGACCAGGCCTTAAGAACAAATGCATATCAAGACAGAATTGAGAAGACAGAAACAGAGAGCAAATGCCGCCTCTGCAAAGAAGCTGAAGAAAGAGTGGACCACCTAGTTAGTTGCTGCAAGAAGATTGCACAGACTGACTACAAAAAAATAGTAGCATGACAAAGTAGTAACAATGGTGCTTTGGAATATCTGCA